TCGCTTATTGGCATTGTAAGAGTAGTCTTGCATGAAGAACGTGGCTAGCTGTCCAGTTTGAAAACGTTGTCCGGGAACAAGTGCAGACATTCCATGAATACTTGTCAAATCGATGAGTGCTCTGGCGTTAGTCAAAGTCATTGTTGACTGGAAAAAGAGATTGCTGGCAGTGTTGGCGCGTGACTTGTCGAGAAGCTGGAAAACGATGAATGGCACAGACAAAATAGAGCCTCCGCGTAACTATAACTGCAATCAGGTCAAGAGGACGAAGGATCATTTTTAGAGTGGCCGACACTATTTTTGTGTGGTACTGGTACTGGAATTGGGACGGGTACTGGTTCTGGGAATATGACTCTAGACTGGTACTGGTTTTGGGAAAAACTCCACTGACGAATCGCAGTAACAGCAGGTATCACTTATTCGAGATTGGCTTTTCTAATCAAAGCATATGTGATCTCCGGATAGTGCAGCAACTTTAGCAGCTGCTAAGTAGAACATGTGGATTCTTTGTGTTGTTATATCGTCGCTTTATCGCTACTAGTATTAGTTTATTCGTACCTCGTTGCGTTTATCGAACTAGAGCACCATTAAGAAGAAACACTAGAACATACATCTTCTAGCGTGACAGGTACATTGGCATGACATGCATGTACTACCAATGCCGATTGTCAACCCAGGTTTTTTGCAGGATTGAACCTTAAGATGCTCCATCTGGCTAAAGTCACATGCTCTGATCGTGATGATCAGAGAGAAACATTCAGTTCTTCCCAACTGTTTAGAATATCCAATATATAGAAACTAATAACCCTTCTATTCTGAACTCATCTTCACTGAGCAATTTAGAACATCTATTTGTTATTAATTGACATGATCTTGGACAATTTATATGCAGCATCACTTCGTTGTAGAGCCGAACTACTGTGACGGATGCTCCTGAGGCAAAGCTCGATTAACATCATGCGCAGAGCACAATTTCCTCATCATGCCGTATGCCGCCAAACACTTTGTAATTCGCCGGCCAGGAGACACGCAGCTTCAAGAAGCTTAATACTCCCTTGAGCCAGCCATGCGCCTGTTGTTATGGGTTTTGCTTGTGACTTTGGTCACCTTCCTTTCAAGTGGCGACGCTGCTCCAGTCGATTCGAATAAGCAGCTGGAACGCGCTGCAATCAACAAGGTGACATCACGCAACCTTGCTAATGACAACAGTCTCACACATGAGAAAAGATTCCTGAGGGGAGACCGCAGCAACATCGTGAATTTGAAGGATGGAGACGAAAATGAAGAGAGAAAAATCGGCCAGAAGATGACTACGGCACTCAAATCAATCAAAGTCTGGTACCTCAAGTGGGAGCAGAAAATTCTCTTGCCTGGGTTTAAGAAGATGGCGAAGAAGGAGATGACTTACTCGAAACTCATGGATCGCTTCCGTGTAAGAATGATGAATAGTGGTCGGTGGGGCACACCGTCTGGGTTCAAACGATACGGAAGGCTCTACAAAGACTACCTGATAAGCATTAATCGCGCGGACCTTGCGGTGTGAGGGTCTGGCAAATTGAGTGGTCGTGATAAGATGAAAACCATCAATAAATTTGCTTCGAGCGCTGTCCTTCTCACAGGTTGTACTCGTTTGATCTTACATGTAATTGCCGCCATGCCCTTGACTGTGGCTACACCCATAAGATAAGGACGCTTTGCGCTCTTTAAAACAACTAACAAAGTGAGTGTGTTTAAGCAGACTCCCCTACCTGCCAGCACGAGATGCGATGCCGTAGGTGTCGCTTATGAAGTATTTTGTTGATGTGGCACAAATTATGAAGGCTCAATATGATGCAGTCGCACGCTGCACCTCTGTCGTGTACAGACTCATTCTTCGAAGTAGTAGTTTGTTGTTGCATATTAGTAGGTATTCTGGCAATTTTCGCTGTCAGTCACAAATACATTGCCTACACTCTCTTTGCAGCTCATGATATTCTACATGTACTCATACCATCGACTGTATGTGGAACAACTCACTTCGCGATCTGTGCTTTTGCTTAAGTGTTTTTAGTCAGTATCGGGGCGTAGCCAATCAGCGCGACTAGCGCCACACGCTTTCACTTCACTTCGCGCATGTGACGGTTGGCGCGTGCGTCCTGTTTAACAAGCGAGATGCCTCGCCACTTATTCCCACATTGACCGCGGAGTGCGCGCGTCGAGTTGGAGGAGATGACGGCGCTGCAGCAGTCCGCCGTGTCTCCAATCACCAGAACCAAGCCCAGTCATTACGCCACTTTCAGCGACGATGTCGACGAGACGAAGCAGAGGCTTCACGACGCCAAGGCTGCTACTACACCTGGCACAGCGTCCTTCTGGTCGCAGCTCTTCTTCTCGTATGCCAACCCCATGATGGACACTGGCAACCAGCGTCAACTAAACCTTGAGGATCTCTGGGAGCTGGAAGGAAAGAATCGCTCTGCTGCTGCGTTGGATGAATTTGTGGTCCACTACGAACGACATGGCAGGTCAATTACCAGAGCAATGGCGGCCGCGTACGGCCGAGAATTCCTAATGTGGGGACTGGTGATGCTCTTCTCAACAGCTTGCGGTCTCTTCGCTCCTGTGGTCCTGAACCACGTGATAGCCGCGCTCTCGATGGTTGAGATCGACATGAACGATCTCAGTGTATGGCTCGGAGTCTTCTTCGCCTCGCGGTTTGCGAACGCCATTCTGTCCGTGCAAATGAACTACGGGCTAGAGATGATTGCACTGCGTCTCACAGTGACGCTTAAAACGCTGCTCTTCCAGAAGGCGATGCGGCGGAGTCTGCGAACAAAAAATGATTCCGGTGTCGTGGACATCGCTAACTTGCTCACCTCGGACGTCAACAACGTGCTGTGGGCGGCCTTCCAGGTCAATAAGCTCTGGATAATCCCCATTCAGATCGTTGTGGCAGTGTGGATGCTATACGCTGTAATCGGCCTCGCTGCATTCGCTGGGCTTGCAGTCATCGCAGTGTCGATGCTGGCAAGTTATTTCCTCGCAAAGTTTTCTGGAGCTGCTTTCTTGGATCTGATGCAACGCAAGGACGAACGACTAAGTGTGATCAAGGAGGTGTTTACGGCTATTCAGGTCGTAAAACTTAACGCTTGGGAAGGTAAATTCGCTGAGAAGATTCGCCGTTTTCGCTCCGTTGAGTTGTCGGCTGTCAAGCGATTTCTCTACCTGGGAGCCGTCAACATTACTATTCTCTGGTCCTCGCCACTGGCAGTGTCAGCTGTATCATTCGCAGTGTACGCGGTAGTCATGGGAAACGAGCTAACTGCTGCCAAAGTATTCACAGCCATCGCACTTTTCAATACGCTGAGAGATCCACTTCGAGACTTACCCACAGTCATCCAGATGTTCATCCAAGCCAAGATCTCGATCGACCGCTTCTCTGCCTACCTCTCTCTTGAAGAGTTCACTCCTGCAAACGTTACCCGACACGACCCGGCCCAGCCTGATGATGTTGTGATGACAATTGAAGACGGCACTTTCGGATGGACGAAGGATACACCACTACTCAACCAGGTTAACCTCACTGTGAAGAAGGGAGACCTGGTGATCGTTCACGGATCTGTCGGTAGTGGCAAGTCGTCCTTGTGCTCAGCTTTATTGGGAGAGATGGACAAACTGGCGGGTAGCGTGTTCGTACGCAGTCGTGTCGCCTACTACTCGCAGCAGACGTGGATCCAGAACATGACGATCCGTGACAATATCCTGTTCGGACTACCGTATGATAAGGAGAAGTACTCCAAAGTGGTCGCTGCGTGTGGTCTACTTCCAGACCTGAAACAATTCCCTGGTGGTGACTCGACTGAGATTGGCCAGAAGGGTGTCAACTTGTCTGGCGGACAGAAAGCGCGAGTCTGTCTTGCTCGTGCGTGTTACTCAGATGCCGACATTCTGCTTCTGGACTCTCCACTTGCGGCTGTTGATGCGGTCGTACAGAGTCAAATATTCGGTGACTGCATTTGCAACCTGCTAGCGGAGAAGACCGTCGTGTTAGTGACGCACAGTCCCGACATCATCGCAAGTGAGGCCGCCAACGTGAAGATGCTGGTAGAGGACGGCAAGCTGAAATCCACTCGGAACAACGTCGATCGGCCACGTACGTCGTACACGTTGCCTGTGTCTCCGCGTTCAATCGAAGAGGATGATGGGAATTTCGAAGAGAAGGACGCTGGCCGTTTTATCGATGATGAGGAACGTGTGGAGGGTCGTGTCTCTAGGGACGTTTTCTTGAAGTACTTCCACTCGCTGGGTGGAATGAAGGTATGCGTTTTCCTGTTCGTAGTGCAGATACTGTGGCAAGCGTTCCAGATTGGCAGCGATCTGTGGTTGAGTCACTGGACCGGCCAGAAGCTTAACTCAGACAAAACGGTGTATAATGTGACGGTGTATGCGTGGCTTGGTGTCGGAACGGCGGTCATGGTATTAGTGCGAGCAGTAACAGTGGCGGTCATTGGATTGCGAGCATCGCGTCACCTCTTCGACAGCATGACGATGTCTCTGTTGAAAGCCCCACTCCGCTTCTTCGACGTGAACCCAATCGGTCGAATCTTGAACCGCTACGGTGACGATATCACCGCGATTGACTTCATGATATCATTCTCCTTTCAGGAAGTTCTTGGGCTTCTTTTCTTCACAGCATGTCAATTGGCGACGGCTGTATACATGATAAAATTTCTGGGCGTGCTGATCATCCCGCTGGTGTGGATCTATGTGAAAATTGGAAACCATTACTTGGCTCCATCGAGAGAACTCGCGCGGTTGTGGAAAATATCTGCGTCGCCCATTTTGAGCTACGTGAGCCAGTCGGAAGAAGGTGTTGCTGTAATTCGCGCCTTTGGGCAGGAAACGGTGAATCGCATGGTTGCAGAGAACTTTCGCCGCAACGACGTCAACTGCCAAGCGTGGTTCGCTCAAATGGTCTTGAAGTACTGGTTCCAACTGCGCATGCAGCTCGTTGGCTTCGGTGTTGTGACTCTCGTAGTCTCCAGCCTCGTTTATCTACATGATTTCCTGACACCAGGTCTTATTGGATTGGCTTTCACGTATGCTCTTAGTGTTGATGGTAGTCTTGCCAGTCTTGTCATGTCGTGGTCATGGTTGGAAATCCAAATGGTCGGCCCCGAACGTATTCTCGAGTACGGATCCATTCCAGCCGAAGGAAGCCAGCGACCACTAGTTATCGAGCCTGATGCTGCATGGCCTCGTTCCTCCACCGTCCAGTTTCAAGACGTTGTTTTCAGCTACAAACCAGGTGCTGCACCTGTTCTCAAGGGACTGTCCTTCAATATCCAGAACAACGAAAAGATCGGCATTGTCGGACGCACCGGTGCAGGCAAGTCCAGCCTCACCATGGCGCTCTTCCGTATCAATGAGTTGGTCTCCGGTCGCATCCTCATCGACGGCATCGACATCGCCACTATGCCACTACGCACATTGCGATCGAATCTGTCCATCATCCCGCAGTCACCTGTACTGTTCAAGGGTACACTGCGAGCCTACATGGATCCGTTCGACGAGTTCACGGACGCGGATATCTGGAATGCATTGGAGAAGGTGGATATGAAGACGCAGGTGTCGGCACTGGAAGGTCAGCTATCGTACGAGTTGAGTGAGAACGGGGAGAACTTCAGTGTGGGCGAGCGGCAGATGCTGTGCATGGCTCGCGCTCTACTGACTCGGAGCCGCATCGTGGTGATGGATGAGGCGACGGCGTCCATCGACCACGAGACGGAGAAGAAGCTGCAGCAGATGATCAATCGGGACTTCCAGGACGCGACGGTGTTGACGATCGCTCATCGATTGGGCACGGTGTTGGATTCGGATCGTATCCTGGTGTTGAGTGATGGTCGTGTGGTGGAGTTTGATAGTCCTCGGGAGTTGGTGAAGAACACGAACGGAGTGTTTTACGAGTTAGCGAAGGAAGGCGGCTGCTTAGCAATGCTGCAAGATTAAATGTTGCTGATGCCTAACGGGTTATTGAGGACACTTATCTAGAATACTACGGCAGTTCCTTAATAGAAGCGACTGGTGCTTCGTAGCGTGGTGCCCGACGTTTATAGTCTTCAGAGTCATTAATGTACTCAGTCTTCACGCTAGATGAGCTACCACTACATGCACCAAGTGTCAAAGCAGCCATGATACCAACTTGGTTGTCACTGTTAAAGGTGCACCAGCCAGCTTCAGAGCAACCAGCGAGCATCTCGAGACGAGTTTCGTTCCCATATATGTGCACACTCAGCTTCTTGTGCTGCAGACCTTCGGGACGAATGAAGTTGTCGAAGAACTCGAGCACATCAGAGAGTTGCAAAGTACGCACTAGGTCCGCTAACTTTGTCTTGCGACCAAATTCGTACTGATGGTTCGCAATTTCCACCAAAAGAGCTTGCACCTCCTCCTCCTGGCTCTTGGGCCTTTCAACATACCCCTTGACGACGGACTGGATGTGTTTCTGCAATTCGCCGGAGCTCATACTCGTCAACATTTCGCGAAAGTCACGCCAAAATGTATCGATGCGCTGCTCAATGAATTCCGGTGAGGCGACATTTGATTGCACAACAATCTTGAACGACTGCACGCCATTCCCACGACAAGGAGTCGAATACACAGTGTATCCGAGTTGCTCTTTGGTCCGCAGTTGGTCGAAAAGAGGCTCGTCAACAATCTGCGAGAACAGAGCCAACTTAGCGCGGTCCATGCAGTTCTCCACGCCGATCTGGTAGATGCAGTTCACGGCACAATTCGCGTTGTCTGGATTGGGGTGAACACGTTTGTAGATGGTATGCACTCCACTGGAAAGTTTCACCTGTCGCCCAATCCAGTACTTCTTCGATGACGGCATGGACAGAGCTCGAGGTGCTCGCACTTGATCCACAATGACACCAGCAAGATCCATCGCTTCAGACAGGTTTAAATTGCCGTACAAAAGGATATCGCAGAAGACCTGACGAAACAGACGCTTAGAATGGGCTATGACGTCATAGTATGAGCACGTCCCGATCGCATTAACGATGTCGTCCACGCTCCAGCTCCGTTCGTGCAGCAAGTTCGACTCTTGCTGGACTGCATGGCGGTGCGCTTCCTCCAGGCGCATGTTCTCGAATGAACGGCACTTGGCGCGCTTCACACGCTCAAATGCCTCGTCCCCAATGTGGTTTCCGAAATTACCCATGACTTCCAGGATCCGCTGAACGAGAATGGGTAACTTGGAGCTGTACCCTCCAGTGCTCAGGTAGATATTGCTTCCGTTGAGCCGCAGTTTATAGTTCATACCAGCCAAAAGAGCGTCGTAGGAATACTCATTCAGCTCATCTTTCAGACAGGCAACAAACAGTGCCGATAGAGCGTAGTTATATGGAGTAGGGTTCACTTCCGGTGAGTGAAATGTCGCCACAGCAAAAGTCCGAGGTTTCTTAAACTTCACATCAGGCTTGTACCACACACGACAAATATCATCATCACGAATGAGTTGCGGGTGCTGGTGTTGGGTATTCACAGTCTTCTCGTCCATAAGATTCAGATCGATCACCACGAAAGCGTTCGGAGACGGCAGATGCAGCGCGCAATTCTTTCCTGGATTCTTCATTTCTTGCATAAACTCCTGGGGTAGCGGTGTTTCACGGTATTTTGTACCGTACCATTTTTCTTCGTTCGTTGCGCGCTCTTCGAAAGTTTGGCACACGATAAGCACTCTCAAATTCTCTGGAGTCATCAGCTTCAGAAGCTCAAGAGCCTGTACCCATTCGTGCGGGAAGTAAAGAACTCCTTCTGATATGATGTCGCGCTTCGGGAAGATGTGCATGTTGGCGGCGACGATACTCGTGAAGTCGGCTGGGGGGTTCTTGCTCTGAAACATGAAATGCGTTTTGGACATGATTTCCATCTCGTCAAACATCCACTTTTCCCAAGGCGAAGCAAGCATCAGCTCGATGTACTGGAACATGGCCTTCAGTACATCGTCGGTGCGCTCGATGCCGTCGTCCGTCACGTCGAAGCTCACTATGAAGAGTGAGAATTCGTCATAATCCTCAACGATTCCTGCAAACACGGTGTTCGCCCACTTTTTCTTCTTAAGGTAGGATAACAGTGAGCCCTGTCCTTCGTGGCCGATTAGATGACTCAACACCGACGCGTGCTGTTGGGAGTAACCTTTACCACGCAGTGGGGGTAGCACCCAGGACACTTGAATCAGTTTCCAGTCCATAACTGGAACGACTTCCAGTCTTCTGGCCAACTGATCGACAGTGTAGGGCGGTTCTCCATCAAAACTTGGGGTTTCTCTCCCCGAATTGGGAATTGCAGTAAAGTACTCGAGCACCCACTTGCTCAACGTCTCGACGTCTTCTTTACCATAGACAACGAGCTTCATGATGCTGGCTGAGTAGAATTCCTTGTAGAACTTAAGAAGAGCCTCCCGAACGTTGATCCCCTTCTCCACAGGTGTGACACTGAGCGTCTCTTTATTGCCCACTCCGAATCTGTTATACGGGTGTTTATGGTTACCCAGGCCGCGTTCTAGCTGATTGATGCGCCAGCTATCGTCCTGTAGGTAATTGGTGCTCTCCGAGTCCACCGCATTCATCTCTCGCTCTGTGGCGCTGGCTGTGAAGAGCGGTGCAATGAAGAACTGAGCAAAACGGTCGAGCGCCTCGTGCAGATGCGCAGCCCCCACGTCAAAGTAGTAATTAGTATCGCGTCCAGAAGTGAAGGCGTTGCTGCTGCCGCCGTGTGCGTTCAGGAACACACTGTAGCTGTTCTCGTCCGGATACTTGGCCGTGCCCATGAACAGCATGTGCTCACAGAAGTGCGCGAGGCCGGGAATATCGTCAGGGTCAGAGTGGAATCCCACGCGCACGTCCATGGCGGCCGAAGCCGTCTCGGTGCTCGGGTCGGACACCACCAGCGCATGGAGAGCATTCGGCAGCGTCAGATACTTGAACTGCCGCTCGTCCAGCGACGACACATCGATCCCGTCCCGGGTCTGCACCACGCGCGGCGTCGTCATTGATTGACTGGCCGGTTCGTTTTCAGCGTGCCACAAGAAACGTACATAATGTATCCATCACAAGAAAATGGCTACATGCACAGAGCAACAAACAACGATGTGAACGTGAGCAAATTCGTTTGTTGTACTCGTACACGTCCACAGCTACTGACATTGTCGTATTAACATCAACACGTTGTTTTCCCTCCATACGATCCCTACAGAATCCAACCAGCCGTGATGGCGTCGTATGTCGCCTTCCGTACGAGCGGTGTACTTGGTCCATCAGGTTGGTAGAAGAGCAGGGGAGCCGACGATTTTATCCACGAGTAGGTGTCCACGAAGTCCCAGACCGTCACACCGACGCATCTCACGGTCTTTTTGCAGGCTGATACAACGTTGGTGATGATGCCGACCTGTTGTTGCTGTTCGCTGACAGTCGGATTCGCCATGCTCGTCTTCACGTCGAGCTCTGTGATCGCGACGTCCATGTGCTTCACGGTAAATCGCCTGAAGTTTTCAAAGATCTTCGCGCCCGCTACGGTATCGTTGTTGCTGTAGTGAGACTGGAATCCGATACCCTCGACCCAAATTTTGTGGCTTCTGAGGTCCGTTGCCATTCCCAGCACGGCGTCCGACTTGTTATTGACAATGTTGATGTTGAAATCATTGTAGTACAGTCTGGCCTGTAGGCTGAGCTTGGCCTTGACTTCGTTAGCAGTCTTGAAGGCGGTCGAGATGTACTCCTTTCCAGTCTTCTTGTACCAGAACGACTGGCGGTATGAGCCGTCTTCATTAAAAGCTTCGTTAACGACATCCCAGGCAGTGCACGAGTTTCCAAAGTGCGTCATGACCTTGGTGATGTGGTTGGACATAGCTTCCAGCAGCTCAGCCTTTTCAAGAACCTGCACCCACTCAGGAACTTGTTTGTGCTGTGGGTCAACAAACACATTAGTAAAGGGCCATCGTCGAGAAGTCGAAAGTTACATACCCAAACTAGCGTGTGGCAGCGAATTCGAGCTCCTGTTTTATTGGCGAAAGCAACAATTTTGTCGGCGTCCTCGAACGTAAAGTTCCCTTGCTTGGGCTCTGTGGCATCCCACTGCAGTGCACTGGCGCATTAGCAACGGCAAAGAACTGAGCCACAGACAACCCGAACGGAACGCACCTTCATGGCGTTGGACGGGGTGATCATTCCGAAGTCGCTGGTGCTGTTCAGTTTCTGAATGTAGTATGGATCGCCCAGTTGCTTGATATCTGTGGCGGTGCCCATGTATTTTCCTCCCCTGTTCTGCCACGCTGTCTTAGCTAGGTCGTTCAACCCCTTAGTCTCTGTGTACGTTGACTCGATCATGACTCGAGGATCGCCGAAGGCGACGGCCAGCGAACTGGCGCCGAGCACCAACGTGATGAAAACGTTCATCACTTCTCGTTCGTGCGCAACGAAGCGAGAAATGAAGAATGTCAAAACGACGAGATGGACGGGCACCCCGCTGTACATCTTGACGTTCAGTCCATGCTGCATTAGTGCAGCGTAAGGACGGCGTTTTCCCGCTTCGCCACAAATGATGATGCCTCACTGTTACTGTGCATACATTCAGTACACACCGAGATTGACCACGCGATTTGTATTCGCTTGGGCCAAGTTGAAGCTCTAAAGGGCCGCACCGGAGAGATTGACAGCACATGTGCATTACCGTTACAGTAGCTGTTCGTGAGCCCGCAATGGTGCTACTCTGCTCCGATGTTCAGGGATGCCCACACTAGTATCTTCTTGAAATCGCTATTGTATGGCCGGAAATCAATACACTCTCAACGACAATACTTGTTAGTCTTCCATTCAAATAAAGTATCGTATCGCAAGAGTGTAGCGTCATGAAAAGGTTTTTTATCAGCAAGTTTTTTTGTTCGGTTGTGGTTCACAACTCGTGATGAATGACAGCCCTTGTCACGTACTTCATGTATTAATTAAACTTAAGAAGTATTTTGGTTACTGAGTACCTCTTCGAAATGAAAAGACGTGTATATCCTTGGGGCACAGAGAGCGTCATGCCTCAAGAATCCTTTGAAACAATCCCTTGCACTGCCTTTCAGGAACGATCGCAACTTTGTGAATGCCTTCAGTCACATAGGGTTGTCGCTGTGACATTGACTACAGCGGCGATGCCCGCCATTGAGGTGACGTGAATTCGTGAGGGGGCTATAATACGGACCCCGTGGACGGTGTGTGGTGTAAGACCTGTGTGGCTCTTGTAACCTACTTCGATAAGGACATATTGTAGGTAGATGTTAGGTACACTAAATGACCTCAATGTGTCTCACTGCAAGACTATTCACGTGACTATTACAATAAAGTGGGTTCACTAAGGAGAATAAAGCACACGACAAACTTCTTTATTGATGCTCTATTCTCCGCTGCTGATATTGCATGCATGTAATAATCTTACTTGTGATTTCCCGTAAATGACGACACTGGCTGTAGTCTACAGTTAGTAAAAGTGTTCAGCGCAGCACTTGAACGCTAGAGGCTATTAACACCTACACAAACAATCTGCAGCATTCAAGTAGGCGCAAGTTAAGGCGTCAAATAAAATCTCAAGCGAAAGGAAAAGCGAACAGCACTTTATAATCGCTGTTAGCATAATATGAAGATATTATCTTCTCCACGCGAACGATGAAGTCGATTTCATTATCAAAAAAACACGCCATTGCTCAATATTTTTGACCGCGACATTCTAGAGCGTCTTACATTATTGTGGGCATCTTGTCGGCTTGAACTTGCTTGCTGTGGCTCTGTCTTAAGAAATACTATAATACGGCTATATTTTTCGTGTCTATGCGATGCTTTCGATACACAATGGGGCTCAAACACCTGCCAGTAGAAACTGTTTGAGACAACAATCAAAGTTGTTTAAGATTCTCGAAACAGGTACCCTATCCATCGGTTGATAGTGACTGCGAATATTACGAGCTAGATGCCACTAGATATGGGAGCTTTAGCGGACGCAACCCAAGCAGACAGTCGCTCCGCTCCATTCACACCTCACAGTTTAGTTTCCTTGAGCAACCCGTTCGCCTTGTTATTTCACTTTTGAAAGCACACATTTAGAATTTTCAAAACTCGATAAAAGCGAGCAAACTCTTTGTTTCACAACGACATAAACACCTCTTTTCTTACCAGACTGCAACTGTCCGTGGTCAGCTTACCAAATCCAACCAGACGTGACCGCATCGTACGTCGCCTTCCGTACGAGCGGCGTATTGGGTCCGTCGGGCTGATAGAAGAGCAGCGGGGCCGAAGCTTTAATCCACGAGTAGGTATCCACAAAGTCCCAGACTGTCGCGCCAACGCAGCGCTTAGTCTTCTTACAGGCCGAGATAGCATTGGTGATGATGCCGACCTGCTGTTGCTGTTCCGTTACGGTGGGGTTCGCCGTGCTCGTCTTCACATCGAGCTCTGTGATCGCGACGTCCATGTTCTTAATTGTGAAGCGACGGAAATTATCAAAAATCTTCGCGCCCGCTACGGTGTCGTTGTTGCTGTAGTGAGATTGGAATCCGACGCCTTCAACCCAAATCTTGTGGCTTCTCAAGTCCGTAACCATTTTCAGCACTGCGTCGGACTTGTTGTTGGCAACGTTAATGTTGTAGTCGTTGTAGTAAAGCTTGGCCTTCAGCTTAAGCTTGGCTTTGACAGCGTTAGCTGTCTTGAAGGCGGCCGAGATGTACTCCTTTCCAGTCTTCTTGTACCAGAAGGACTCGCGATACGAACCGTCTTCTTCGATGGCCTCGTTCACGACATCCCACGCGTAACATGTGTCTCCGAAGTGTGTCATGACCTTGGTAATGTGGTTGGACATGGCCTCCAGCAGCTCAGCCTTCTCCAAACTTTGCACCCACTCCGGAACTTGCTGGTGCTGCGAAGCCACAAAGCAACAGCGTCAATACTGTCGTTTTCCACGACAATTAGCGTTTTGGAAACTTACCCAAACAAGCGCGTGGCAGCGAACTTGAGCTCCAGTTTTGTTGGCGAAGGCAACAATTTTGTCGGCGTCCTCGAACGTAAAGACGCCCTGCTTGGGCTCGGTAGCATCCCACTGCAGCACGACATTAATTACTACAACGACGTTAACAGTGTAATCGTATACAATACCCACCTTCATGGCGTTAGCCGGAGTGATCATTCCAAAGTCCTGAGTTGTGTTGAGCTCCCCGGTGTAATACTTGTCGCTCAGCTGCTTGATGTCGGTGGCCGTGCCCATATACTTGTTTCCCATCGACTTGGCCAGGTCGTTCAATCCCTTCGTGTCCGTGTAAGTTGACTCGATCATCACTCTAGGATCCGCAATAGCGACAGCCAGAGAGCTGGCACCGAGCGCCAACGCAATAACAGCGTTCATCGTTCCAGGCCGAGTGCGTGCACGAAGAAGCGAGGAACCAATAATGGCCGGACGTCGAAATGGAGCAGTGGACAGACCAACGAACTACATCCCATCGCAAAAGTCTTTCTTGGTGTTCGGTCCATGTAGCGTTGGTAAGGGCAAGCCACTGACCCTTGACAAGAAGTGCATACAGTGCCTTTGCATTATGTAAGGTGCCCCAGTGAAAGGCAAGCCTCAAACAGAGAAAATTTTCCCTCTATTCTCTCAAAAGCAGGTGGGATCAACCAGTAATGCGCAGATTTTTAGATCACAACTTACACAAAAGTTGTGG